AGGTTGTTTGTTACCTCCATATAATTGGCCTTCTCTTTCTTGGATGGTTTGCAAAACTTGCTTTCCTGTGAAGGCAGCGGCTGGCGTGGGAAGAGCACCCGCACCACGAGCTGGGAAGCACAGGAGAGGTGATGGGCTCCAGCGGCACACAGGCGCTCGTCCTCCCGTCCACTTGTCTCGTTTTCAGTCCTTTTTGCAAATACACTTGGCCGCGAGAGTATTTAAAAACCCCAAGGCTGTGCGTTTGGGAGGCACTGGGACTGCTCCGTTGCACCCTTCCTTGTCTTCCTGTTCTCGTTTCGTTCTGCCACCGCCACAGGTTGGACCGAGCGAGTCCTGCTCCCTGTCGAGCAGCCAAAATTAAGCAGGGAGTATTCCTTCCAAGGTTCTTATAAATCCATTTACCGGCCATACTCCACAAGAGACGCCGCACCAGCGTGTGGCAGATTTGGCTCCAGTCGGATGCCTGTGCCCAAAAAGGTCCCGGCAGCCACGAAAGCATCTTCACCATCAACGTTTCACATTTTCAGCTGCTACTGAAGCCACAAACCCCTGGCGGTGCCTCTGGCAGCAGCTCCCCTGGCCAGTTTTCCCAGGTCGCTCAAGGATTCCTGCCGGGCACTGCCGGCGTTTGGAAGTGCCGGGGACAACCTCTTTGCACCCTCCGTGCCCAAGGGGTACCCAGATTTGGTTCCCAAGCTCAGCAGTCACGGTTTGGACCCAGCACCACTTTTCTCCACTCTGGCGCACCACGGGGCTCCTCTATAGGAACCACGACCCTTGCGCCCGCACCGAAGCCCACCTCAGCCCCGCGCAGCCTCCAACAGAAGCGTGAGGGGAGGGCGGCACGCTGGAGGAGCGCTTCCCTACCTGAGCATCCAAAATCCACCCTCGTGTCCAACAGAAAATCCACGATCGCCCGGGCATCGCTGCTCCGCGTCACCCGCGCTCCGTCCCCCAGGCGGGACCGCGGAACCGAAGCGAGCACGGGAGGGATAATTACCAATAACCGTACTTAATACTGCAGTGCATTATCTCTAGCTATGGAGAAAAATGCGATCTGGAGGTATTTCCCCCAGAAGCCCTATCGAGCTGCTCTCCGAGCGCTCTCAGGAGCCCCGTGAAACGGTAATAGAAAGTCACGGGCAGCCCGGGAGGACGCGGGGTTGGTTTCGGTAAGGCAGCGCGCTGGCTGCCTGCAGCCGGACACCGCTCCGATCGAGCCGTGGGAGAGGATGCAGCGAGATGAGTCAAGAATCACATCTCCCGGGGCTGAGTCGCCCGCTGCTGGCGCAGGGATGCTGCCGATGGCTGCTGGTGGCAAGTGCCACCGCCAAGACAACCCCCAGCCGTCGGAGGAGCATCCCCGCGGAGAGCCGGCTCGGCCACGGCCCGTGGCGCCACGCCGAGCGTAAGGCACACAGGATTTACGTTCCAACACAATTTACGGCTCCTGCCACCAAACTTGCATGTTATGCTCTGCTCGCTCCAAACCCTCCATGTCCAACACTGAAAAAAAATAGCGTGACATACATCTGTGGCATCACTGGTAGTTTTTAGGTGGGTACCATTTTGAGGCAGAAAAAGTGAAGCCAAAGAAAGGAGATAAGACAAAACAGTAATTAGTTGGACTAAATGTAAATTTGCCAAGAACAGAGAGAGACGGCGTGTGCCGGTGAAGCTCCGGCACAGTCCCCCCCTCCACCGCCTCCAGGCCCCCGCGCATCCCCCTCGCCCACCCGAGGCAGTAACGGGGCTGCTGGGATGCTCTTCCGCAGAAAAATGCCAAGTGCTCTGG